TATTGTGTCCAGTTCTGGGCCCCTCAGTTCAAGAAGGACAGGGAACTGCTTGAGAGAGTCCAGCGCAGAGCCACAAAGATGATTAAGGGAGTGGAACATCTCCCTTATGAGGAAAGGCTGAGGGAGCTGGGTCTCTTGAGCTTGGAGAAGAGGAAAATGAGGGGTGACCTCATCAATGTTTACAAATACGTAAAGGACAAGTGTCAGGAGGACAGAGCCAGGCTTTTTTCAGTGATGACCAGTGACAGGACAAGGGGCAGTGGGTGCAAACTGGAGCATAGGACGTTCCATGTGAATATCAGGAAGAACTTCTTTCCTGTGAGAGTGACAGAGCCCTGGAACAGGCTGCCCAGAGAGGCTGTGGAGTCTCCTTCACTGGAGACATTCAAACCCACCTGGACATGTTCCTGTGTGATGTGCTCTGGGTGACCCTGCTCTGGCAGGGGGGTTGGACTGGATGATCTTTTGAGGTCCCTTCCAACCCCATGGATTCCGTGATTCCTTGGGACACACATGTGAGAGGTGCACTGGGGCTGGCAGGAAAAGTGCGAACAGTGTAACTAAGGGCCAAGGCAGCTGTGCGATCTAAGGCTGATGTAAGCTGGTTGAACTAGCCTTAAACTTTGTACCCAACATCAGATCTGCAAGCAGACCTCGGGACCTTTATTACAGCACGGTAGGTGTCAAACTGAGGTAAATCTGCAGCTGTCGAATGAAATCGCTGCCCAGTGTCACCACAAATCTTGCCCAAGCTCACACTGGAGGTCTGAAGGGGAGGAACGCTACCAGATCCACGCAGAAGTATTTAATCGACATGAGAAGCAATCATTGTCCACCTTTTATGACACCCACGTGATTTTGATACAGAATCCATAACCAATGAAACAAATTAGCATTCATGGATACAACTTTGTTGAAACCACTCTGAAGAACATATTCAAGCAGAACGTGTATTAAGTTACCGTACTGCAACCTTGTGAACTCCTCAGGGCGAGGATCTCATTACTGGTCCGGAGTGCATGGTCTGGCAGCCCAACCTTGGGTAAGCTTCTGCTTTCACAAGGGTAAACAGAGCAGGCTCCTCAGCTACAAATGTAGCAGAGCCAGCACAGCATCCCTCTCACCTGCACACACGCTCTTTCCACAAGGTTCTTCTGCCTTGGAGCTGGTCTAAGAACTTTCTCCTAGCTTATGCTGTTCACTTGGAGAAGGCTTCTTTGAACTCGCTCCATCCTTTTATTTTTTTAATGAAACATTGATCTCATGGCTTAATATACTTTCAGGTAGGAAGTACAATAAAAGACTTACAAAAAGTCTTCATGTAATGTAAACAGTAACAAATAATGTAAACAACCCATTTCCTCTCCTGAGATATCCATAGTTCATTCACCAAAATTCTATCCATTCATCTGTAATTCTGTAACTGCCCAGCTTGTTATAAAACGTATTTTCTTTCATTGCCATTAGGTATGTACCCTAAATGTCCTTAAAATGCAAAGCACTCATTTAGTCATTTTTGTTATTCTGGATTTCACCGAGGATTTGTTTTCATTAAAAACTGAACTATGAATTTCCTCTCTGATCAACTGCTGCAGAACAGCTAAGGAATCTGTTACAAGTATTTACTTACAAATGTAGGCACTTGGACTTGTGCTGATCTTCAACCCCTTCACTGCCCTTCAACCCCAAAGTACATCTGAAAAATGTCAGCACATCCTTTTTCTTCTAAAAACCGATACAGCTGCCCCAAATCCATATGATTTCCTCTGGCACCATGTGCATCAAAACATTTTTCTTCCAAAGTGGAGAACTTTCTTTGTTTCTGAATCTCAGCATGCCCTCCACCTTCCAAAGAAACATCTTCCCTGTGTCGAATAAGAATCCTTTTCCATGTCAATCGTCTTACTCTGAAAGCAATTGGAGAAATACAAATCTATAAATTAAGACTGTTTTAGAAAGTACTATGAAATAGCTGTTATCACAGAAATAATTACATTTAATTTGTACCTATATCTTTACAGAGATAATGGTTTTCTAGCTGGTCCTAGAAATACTACTCGCATGCAAACATTTCCATAAGCAGGAAACTGTTTCGTTGTGCCTCCTCAGGATTCTTAATGTTATTCCTTACAAAATAATGTGTGAAAACGTGGTTTAAATTTCAGTGCTCACTTCTGCCTTCCCTGTGCTAAGAATTCTCATTTCTCATCCTCTCTAAACTGTTACAATGAAACGCAGTGTTCATTTAGGGTGCACCACCCAGAAGAACAGCATAGGTATCTAACAGGACAGGTACTGCAGTCCATCACCATAGGCATGAAATACAAATAAATGTGCACAGTGAAGTATTAGTAGTGGATGGTGGATACAGTACAGTGGATATTCAGAGTTGTGAATCCATTATGATAAACACAAATACTTTGCAGACTTTTATAAGTTGGAAGGTGGTTGGGTTTCCCACCTTCCAAACATGTATACAACACAAAACGTAATATTCTAACTACTAATGGCATTCAAGTACAAAGAAGAACTAACCTTGACCAGAACTCTTCACAACTACTTAGTAGACCTTCAACACAAACAACACCTGGTTTCCCTGGCATGCAAAACCCTGACAGAGAAAGCTCCTTGGCCCAGTCAATAATATTCTTTCTTTTTTGCTTGTTATAAATGTGATGACTGTAGATCCACAGCCGAGTGAACGTGACATCTTCTGACTGTGTGGCATTTGATGTTGTCAACGAGGAAGATGAAATCTCTTTGTCAATATAAGCAGCTCCATGGTCTTTAACCCATTCCCTTGCAGTCAACATGCAGGGCTCACCACTGCAGTTTTGCATCAAGTACATTTTCAGATCAGAGTTCAGATGAACCTGCTGAGAACGGCTTAATAACGATGACCTAAAGAAAAATACAAATGCAGTTTAGTATGCTTTCAATTTAACATGCTTTTCAAACAGTTTTACTTCAACCTGCCAAACAATCAGGCCATATTTAGATGGCATGCACTTGCTATCAATACTTCAGTCATATTAGCTATGCAAAGGTTTTAATTAGTATTTAATCAGTGTGCTAATTGAGTTCACAGACAGTACTACCAACCTATACATTGAAATAAAGAAAAAGGTACTCGAAAAGTGAGTATGGCAGATGAACTAATTTCCTGCAATATGCTCATCTACTTCTTTAATCAGAAACGTTTCAAAATGAACTATCAGAAGCCTGAGAGTAGTAACATTTTGACAAGGGAAGAATAAGACCATTAAGCAAATTTTCAGTCCTTTATTTAGTGTTAAGTCTTCTCAAACTGAGAAGATGTCAGACCTATGAACAGTATCTACGCAGTAACCCCTCTCCAGAGAGGATGGCATTCCTCTATGCTTTTCCCATTTTTCTCAGTTCTTTGCTGAAGACACCAGAGAAATCATAACCTTGTAGATTTGATTTTCTTCAACATTGTTGTCCGTCTGGGTTAAACAAAAAATAACTTTTTCTTTCCTATTACAACTGCATTTAGGCAGTACACCATAGCTTCTAAATGTTCTCATTAGCTGGACTTCTAATACCATACCTCACAGTAACTTCTGGTAGAACGGTGGGATATTTAAAAGGTAAAGCACAGACCATAGAGAATTCCACCTAACAATAAATGAACAAATGTTCAGTTCAAGTAAACATTAAAATCCCACTTTTTCATTTTTTTTAATTTAAAAGAAACCAACAACCCAAATCAGGTGTTTACAATACCGTAGAGGCATCAGGCACTTCTGGCTTTACGTTCAGTATAAACTGAACTTTTGAAGACGGCATCTCTGCAGACTCGTTTTCAGCATAGTGCTTGAGTTCTGCCACAGCCAGCTGGTCAGTCACAACAAACTCTTCCTCGGAGGGAAACATGCTAGAGAGCAGGTCTAATTCCGACATCTGCGCCTCGGCTTCTTCTCGGTTCGTCATTTCTGCTGCTTCCTACACAGATAAGAAACCAGGGAAGAAACACCAGGTTCGATTATAAGGGACGAGGCCCAATCAACCTCACCCCCCGTTGGCCATCAACCTCGTCCATCCCGTTGGCCCCGATACCGCGGCCCGCCCGAACGCCCCGGTCCCGGTGGGGC